GACCGCCGAAATTTCGTTGTAGTATACCTTTAAAAAACGATCCAATGCTTGAGCAGCCAGCGCGTCGGCGGCCGATTTCGCTTTCGCGGATGCGTTGGATCGTCAGGGGAATAAAACGAAGTAAAAATCCCAAATACATTCCCGATCGTGCTTTCTGATGTAGACGTCGGCGGGGCCACCTATCGTGGTCCTGAGAACTGCCAACACCAAACGCGACGCTGATGAAGAATCAATTATATGCAAATGAATGGGGAACGGCCTAAAAGGTTCACCAGCATGGCTGCGGAACGGCTTGCCCGCGGTCACGATATCACCCGGGCGCGCGCTATTTCAACATGCTTCAATGGCTCCGGTAGTGCCAACGTTGGGTAGTACGGTACGCGGAATGTACCGTAACGGTTTGCTAAAAATTCCCGTTCTCATTTCTGCTCGTCCTCCGAGCAGAAACCTGAGGGTTTTCGTGACATTGTCGCTTCCGCTCTCGATTCCGCTCCTGTGCCTTATCCGTACTCTGTATACGACGAGCTGCTCAGCGCACCAAAACTGAAAGTCACGTCCTTTCGGAACCGCCACAAACTTTCCGAGGCTCGTCTGCTCAAATGGTCGTGCGCATGCTCCGGTACAACGGGATTTCGGCTACAGCCACTTGTAGCCACTTCCTAGCTTTCTATTTACCTGCACCATGATACTCCAGCTGCACTCGGTGCCCACCGCTGTATTTGATCTACGAGTGCAGCCTATCCGAAAACACAACCAGAAGTACACTGCCCTGCCCTTTTTCTTCTCCGCGATGTTGACCAGGCAACACTTTTCTGCACCTTTGCAGTCTGGTGCAGCTAAATCGGACGCAGCAAGTATCAAACGGAGAACGGTGTCTCTATCGAACGCCCAGCCTTCAACGCGTACTCATCGCTTTTATATTTTTTTTTTTTCTCGAACGCTTGGTTTTTAGACGTGCTCCTTGCTTTATTTTAGACCGCCTGGCTTCTAACAGGCGATCTTTGCTTTTTCTTTTTTTCCTTTGACGTTTGATTTTTAGACGCGCTCGTTGCTTTTCGACGCGAACTCTGGCTGCCCGTGCACGCTCGAGGTACCGGGAGTTTTTGCGAAGTTCCCTGAAGAACTTCCTATTAACAACTGTCTATGTAAAAAAAAAAAAAAAAAAAAAAAAAAAAAAAAACGCTGTGTAGAAAATGAGAGGGAATCATGGAAGACTGTGTTAAAATGTACTTCTACTTTGCTTTGAAAGTACATTGTATTTATAGTACTTTATTTCAAGTGCAGTGCTCCTGGTGTACTTACACTGTACTTGAGGTACATAATTTCTCATTTACTTCGCATTTCATGTACTTTTTAAATCTGCATTAGGCAACCTGGTGGAGACACTGTGAAAACATGCATTTGTAGCATTTTATTTTCCTTCTAGTTCTCTGAACCCCTCTAAATGTCTCCTTTTTAACCCCCCCCCCCCCCCCCCCCCCCCCCTTTGTTCAAGCTTATTTGGGCGCAGGTGTGGCGCAATAGACCCTTTCCGAAATTCAGTCTGGCCACTTTGATCACTATCATCATCTGTGGAACGGCATCTGTGCCATATCAATGGCAGCCTTCTAGTGACTGATAAAGGAAGACGTTGAAGATGCTCCTAAGCGGATGATGCAAGGCCTGTACATTCGGGGGGTCAGTACGACGCGACGTAGGAATGGAACACAAGAGCTACGTAAGCGTTCATTTCTAATAACTCAGATTCAATCAATCTGTGGGCGGCACACAAGTGACAATCGGCTTTAAAGCACTTTGGTGTATGTAATTTTCTCGAGGCATCTGAGTGGGTTGGAGCTTTGTTCTGTATGCAGGTTCTTGGTCACCATCGAACTGTAAGTTATCGAGAAAGAACTCACACTGAACAATTCCTCGCTAGCCGTTGACTTGCGAAAGCAACGGTGCCGACACAAGTTCATTTCCGCCATTGATATGGCAAAATCTAAACTGCTTTACGAACCACCAGATGGCACTGAATTTCGGAAAGGGTCTATTCTTAGCGAAAATGGCATTTTGGCGTAAGATGTAGCAGACTTTCGTTCATGGCGCAATTCGGCGCAGCACCTCCATCATGGCATTTGCTTCCAGGGGCCGCCGAGGCTACGCACATCAAGGGGCTTTATTGCGTGCGTGTAACCAATACGGGGAGGGTGCGGAATATCGCTCCTCCACCAACACCAACACGATCGCCCCCTTCCCATCTACCGAATAGTTCCGACGCATAATAATTGTGGCGCAAGCCGCCACCCGATTGAAATCGCTCGGTTCTAACTTCTATTTATAGTGTTTATCGCGAATAAACACTAGTGTTTGTTCGTGCCAACGAGGTAGATTCGTGTGGGCTGTGTGTTACTAGATCGAAGCAGGGGCGGATAGAGGGGGGTAGGTCCGGATGTCCTGACCCTCCTCTTGATTTTTGCATGTGTAAAATTTAGGGCGTGAAACGAGGATGTGGGGGTTCCTAGACATATGGTACGCTGGCCAACACCTGACTCCCCCCCTCCCCCCTCAGGAAATTCCTGCATCCGCCCCTGGATCGAAGTCAGTTGACAAGTTTCCTAGACACCTGGCGCCGTTTCGTGACGCCTCCATTCGGTGGCGCTCGCTACGCTATCCTCAAGAAAGCCTAGATTGTGGAGAATCCAAGTCAAACCGTGGGGAGCGTTTGCAATTTAATGGCGGACGCCCCCTGTCAACGTTGCTAAAACACTCAGTTGGGAAACTCCCATGGAGACAGCTTTGAAAAAGTGGCCCCAATCTGTCTCCGAGCACCGAGCTAATGACGAACACAACGCCACCATTTCTGCCGCAGCGGCCACTCGAGGAACTACACGTGACTTCAATTTTGGCTTTAAAGAGGTACTCCGCCGATTTCTTCATGGTCCCCAATTTGCTTGAAATTTTGCTAAACTCGCCAAACAACATCGCCAAAATAGTATCCCAAATATTAGGTCAAACTAATTTTTTTTTTTCACGAAGTTATTGAATTTACAATTTTGGTCCTCACCGTGTTTTTCAAACTGAAAGTCTCTACTGGCAACAATAAAAAAGTGACGTCATTGGAAGTGCAGGGGTTCACTCTTTGGACTGTAGAATTTGTTCCCAACTGATTCGAAGCAGTTTCATGGTGTCAAATGAATGCTTTGGAAGCTCGCTCCAGTCCCCGCGCTCCAGCACGGGACAAATGATTGGCATATTCTATTTTTTAGACTGCTCGCCCGACTGGCAAGCTTACCTTCCACTGACGTCACGGCCCTGAAAAGGGCGGGTATATTTGAATGTTTGACGATAATAATCCCTGGAGAAGGGATTATTATCGTCATTTTTGTCCAGCTTGCTTGCACCTTTGCATTTAATTGCATTATAATTTGAATGGTTGTTTTTGCATCATTTTCATTTGCCGATTTCGCAATAACTAATATGAATTTCACGATACTAAATAGCATACCAGAAAGGGTAAAGGCCGAGGAATCAGAAAATATAGTTAGTTGAGGTAGCTCAAAAATCGGCGAAGTACCCCTTTAAGAACAGATACAGCGGAAGAGGTTACAGGAGTGCCACCCCCGTCTCCCCGGCGGACGCGCCGCGTCGAACTCCCGAAGTTAAAATGCACCTAGGTCGGGACGCGCTACCTAAAAGCCCCGCTGAGGCATGGTTGTATAAAAACATTAATTGTGCCGCAAAACCCTGCAAACTAAAGATTTTAAAAACATAACGCGCCCCTCTTTTTGTACTAAACTCCAATAAATTTCATACAAAAAGAGTATTTTCCGTTTGTTTTTACGCAAAAACAGGCTTTCAAAAAGCTCAAGGTGACCACAGTACAGACAAACGATAAAGAGTGGCGCTGTTGTCGCATTTAGCTCGGTCTCGGTGAACGCCAGCGGCCCAGGTTTCGACGGCGAGTTTCCCAACTGAGTGTTCTAGTAATGTTGCCTCCTGCGGAGATTGATCGGAAATGCGCATGCGCTGCGTTGCCGTGTGGCGAGGAGGAGAGCAGGCGGAAAGGTGCAGACGACAAAATTAACGCTTTTTGCTAACCCCCTTGCAAATGCGGCCCATAAACCACGTGACCTCAATCGAGCAGTTGGAAACTCTTTAATATAAGCTATCATCCTGATATAAGTAAAATGTTTAGTAAATTTTTTATTTTTTTGAAGATTCTTTACGCCACATTTTTTATTGTTTTTCTCCATCATTGGCTGGTGTTAGTGCAGTTTTGCTTTTTGGTACCTGTCAACTTTTAAAGTAACTTGCGAGAAAAAGGCTCGTTCACACTCTTGCAACCGAGTACGACCGACAGAAACGAGACCTGTTGAAACCTCTTAAAATTTCTTAGGACGAGGGAACACACTGGGATTCAGGCGCCATCTATGCGGTGACCCTGGAACTGCAATTCACAAGAGCGAAGGTTTTGCGGGATCTTCGAGGTCAATGTGCGTAATATCTATGAGACAGGCTCGTTTATATCGTTGACAAAAGTTTTTCGAGCCAAGAAAGAAAGGATAATGCGCGAGAGAAATAGAAAACATGCCGGACCGCGAAGTTTACACTGCTATCCAATAGATGGCGCCAGTGTGTCCTCTCGTTGTAAGAGGTTTCAAGGCACCCAATTCTAAAAGGTTGCAAGACTGAACGGGCCATCATGATGCTGGGGTCCTAACATACAGCCATATTCGATGCAAGAAAGACACTAATTTGGCAAAGCAAGCACATCATGCATTGCCCTCTGGACAGTTCCACAGCCACCAGAAAGGCCGCTACCATTTTAAGATCCCAAAACACTTCCAATATCCAATTTCATACTTCTCTTCTATCAGATTCATGCTAAGACTAGATAGCAGTGTTGCTCCTTCCTGCAACTGTCTGTAGCACTCCCCGTGTCCCAAATTAGATTGATGTGCCACAATCATAAGGTCAATCCCCAGACTTGTATCTAACATTAATACTAAAAATACAAATGAAGTGGTGACATTAAACACTAGTCACCATTAAATATCTTTATTGTCAAGACGGGTTTTCGAGCGTGGAGGGTCGACTCGCACATCCTGGGCATGTGTGTAGAGTGTCATGAATGAAAAGATCACACTCCAGACAGAACTGTGCCTTGCACTTCGTACACTGGTAGACCTGCAAAGAGCATCCAAATAGACAATTAGGCATTTTCTTGACAATCCAAACCAGTTACAGTAAAAAAATTATTTCAAGATTTGCTCTAACATTGTAGTAGTAGATTGGGGTTTTGTGGCGCAAAAGTGCTCGAACATTGTCAGCAGATTATCCCACAAAATTCACAACAGAGGAATGTCAAAAGAAGGATTCGTGATGACAATAATGTTGGACCAAGCTCTCATAAGCCCTGTGATGATTTAGAGGTCATTTTCCGTGGCGACTTTAGCGGACGGTAGTTGTACAATGCCGTCAGCTGTTGCTGGCTTCAGACATTGCATTTGCATATATGTCCATTCAGCAGACACTTTGCTGCCATGGTGACAGTAACCATATCAGACGGACTTTATTGTGAGAAAGCAGATGGCTGTGTGGCGAGATCAGGTGCATGCTTCCGCTCGTTTGCTATGCTTTTCAATGGGTGGAATGTAAACAAAGAGAGTGTGAAATAAGAACCTAACCCAGATGACTGATTTTCTCCAGTAGACATTTTTAAGGGAACACAAAAAGCATGTCTTTTTGTGTTAAACTGTACCATTTCTGTTCCTGGCATACAGGTTTACATATCTTTTACTGTCTGGTGCAACTAACATTTATTACAAATGAGAAAACCCACTCCTCAGCCTTTCTCCTACCAGATAGCAAGCATGCAAAAAACAAAGAGCCTTATAAAGAGACTGAACTTCAGAAAAATCTTTTTTTTTTTTTGCCTGGTTAGGACAGGCGAATTTTAAAAACAATGTTCGTCGGAAAAAAAAATTATTTGTCTTGCTCATTAATTATGCTATAAAAAAATTAAAGCCGTTTACAACTCCCTGTAACATTGAATTAGAGCGCAGCTTTTGAAGAGGAGGAGGGGAAGGTACAGAGAGGGTGCTATGCACCTCCTCCTCTCCTGCTCGCCTCCTTTTAGGAGAAAATTTTCCGAAAAATTTCCCGACAAATTTAGCGGGGAAATTTTTCCGCTAGATTTATAGGGGAAAATTTTCCGCTACATTTAGCGGGGAAATTTTTCCACTAGATTTAGCAGGGAAATTTTTCTGCTCGATTTAGCGGGGAATTTTTTCTGCTAAATTTAGCTGGGAAATCCACTAATTTAGCGGGAAAGATTTTCCGCTAGATTAAGCGGGGAAAATTTTCTGCTAAATATAGCGGGGAAATTTTTCCACTAGATTTAGCAGGGAAATTTTTCTGCTCGATTTAGCGGGGAATTTTTTTTGCTAAATTTAGCGGGGAAATCCACTAAATTTAGCGGGAAAGATTTTCCGCTAGATTAAGCGGGGAAAATTTTCCGCTAAATATAACGGGGAAATTTTTCCACTAAATTTAGCGGGGAAAATTTTCCGCTAGATTAAGCGGGGAAAATTTTCCGCTAAACTTAGCGGAGAAATTTTTCCACTAAATTTAGTGGGGAAAATTTTCCGCTAGATTTAGAGGAGAAAATTTTCCGCTAGATTAAGCGGGGGAAATTTTCCGCTAAATATAGCGAGGAAAATTTTCCACTAAATTTAGCGGGGAAAATATTCCACTAGATTTAGCGGGGAAAATTTTCCACTAGATTTAGCGGGGAAAGTTTTCCGCTAAATATAGCGGGGAAATTTTTCTGCTAAATTTAGCGGGGAAAATATTCCGCTAAATTTAGCAGGGAAATTTACCCATCATGCACTGCGCGATTACGCCAACGCCGATGCCGCTCAAGCTGGAAACGGGCGCCTAAGAGCTGCGCTCTAGAAGTTTTCAATTTGCGGGCAAAGCCGAAATTGTACCCCTAAGGGATGATGATGATAGTATTTGTCGCCAACTACCGTAAAACAGCGAGCATGCGCCCGTCCTTCCATTTTACGATAATTTAATATTTTTGTGGCTACGATCTTGAATGTTATTCCCAAACCGAGTAAGGGCCCCCTCCTTATTTTGATTGGATGATCTCTGAATTTGGAGGGGGTGCTTGCTCAGTATTTTACAGTTGTGTGCGCTCCAAATTTACTGGACCTCAGAGTTGCTTTAAAGTGCAAAGTAGTTGGGTACAAATGCTATCATCATCATTCCACAGGAGTAGTTTCAGTTTTGCCTACAAATGGAAAAATTCATATTAAAACATATTATCGGAAAAAAAAAAAAATTTTTTTCCCTAGGTTTAGTGTTTTTTTAATAGCATCTGTTACATTACACACTTTATTGAGAGCATCATGCACAATGTTCTCAAAGCTGCTGGCATAAACATGTCACTTAACTGAGTGCTTCATTTACATGAGCTCTCATGGAGATGGGGTGCCAGATAAAGCTTTGCAGACATACCAATAGGTTTGTACACTATCAAACCTGTGGTGCATGCCATGCACAGTAAGACATTGCTTAAACAGACTTCAAGTAGTTACTATGCTTTCAGGGCAAGCATGCCTAGGCTGTTGCACACTTCCATTTGACAGGGCTTCAAAGAAATGCACAACTACTGGAGCATGGCTATGAATTATCAAGCCCCCTAAAAGAAATTGATACTGGAATAATCTATGTTCACTAGGAGCACTAGCACCGCAAGAGTGCAGTAAGAATTTGTCAAAATGGTGCAACTGTTGCGGCTGGAAAACCTTTGCCCTTCCCAAAAACAGTAGGAGAGCAGCCAGCATCTCCAGATTAAGCCAACGAGACTTTTTAGATTTAAATTAATTCTTAGAAAAAGGGAACTGCCAGTAAAAGAGAAACCCCAAAACTTACATGATTGTCAGGGATGGAGGACAGGCAGGAGAAACATGAACTGTAAGAATGAAACAAAGTGACACAGTTCAATCAGTCAGCATCTTTGCCCTGCAAAAAGAGTTTGATCAATGCACATGGCAGAGATTTATAACCAGAGATAAATGAATGTGTCTTGGGGCTGTGAGAAGGAAAATTCAGGAGAAAAAAAAGGCAGTCCAGAAGATCTGAGTGAGTCAACAGACGAGGGAGTCGCACGTAGTCGAGTCGGCAGAAGCTTTCTTTTCGTGAAGGTATATGTGACCTTTGCGACTTGTCGAACAGAAGAAAAAGGAGGGAAAGAAAAGAAAGGTACCTCGCAGCTCAATTCTGCCAACTGTTGTCCTTCCCTGAAAAGGGGTCTGCCCCCCCGAACTTTGTGGTTTAGCGAACGTCCGTGATGCGGCGTACGTGGCCTCGCAACTCAATGTCATTTAAACCCCTCAATATAAAGTAATATGTACTCACACAACGTCATCCTTTGGAAGCGACTCCTTCGGCATCTCCTCAAATGCATCTAATGCAAACAAGTGATGATATGACCTTGCAAGATGGGGTGCGGAGACCAGCGTCAGACCTGGCAACAAACAATACTCGAATTTCATTACCCAGAACAATGAAAATGCCCGTAAAAAGAATGGTAACCGTTGAAGGGGTACTCTGGTGTTTTCTTCATAATCCCCGATTTGCCTATAAACTTGCTAAATGCACCAACAAGCGTCGATAAACTAGTAACCCAAATATTGGGCCAAATTAAATCTCTTTCACAAAGTTCTTGAATTTATAACTTTGGTCCTCACCGTGTTTTTGCAAGTGAAGGTCTCTACTGGCAACAATAAAAAAGTGACATCAGGAGAAGGCAGGGGTTGACTTTTCGGACTGTAGACTTTGTTTCCAATTGATTAAAAGCAGTTTCATGGTGAAAATTAATACTTTGAAAGCTCACTCCAGCAGCAGCGCAACTGCACGGAACAAATGCTCAGCATAGTTCATTTCTAGACTGCCAGCTTGACCTGCAATGCAAGCCTAGCTTCCCCCGATGACACGCCACTGAAAAGTGTTGGTTTTGGCAGAATGCTGGTTTCGGCATCATTATCACTTGCATATGCCACAATAACTATTCTGAATTTCGTTATACTAAATATAGCATACCAGAAAGGGTAAAGTCCGGTGATTCCGGAAATTTAGTTAGTTGGATTGGCTCAAAAAATCGCCGAAGTACTCCTTTAAGACTGGTGCGCACTTTATTCACAAAATTTTCCAAACACACTCAAGAGGATGGCGTCAGAGAAAAGACTTTTTGGTTTACAGATGCCTGTTGCTCGCACTGTTGTAGCAGATGCTACAACTTCAGTGAGGGCAAACACCATTAGTACTGATAATGTTTGTGGCAGGCATAACTATGAGTGAAAAGTTTATAATTAATGAGGGAATTGCCCAGACGCCTGGACCTGCAGTTTGCAGTACCCAAGAAATTAAATTACTAAGGTTAACAAACAAATCAATAGAGACAAGTCAAAATGAAAAAAATTAATATTTTCTGGTCTGCTGCTTCTTCTAGACTTGAGGCCCGTTCACACTCTTGCAACCGAGTATGACCAAGAGAGACTAGACTTGTTGAAACCTCTTAAAAATTTCTTAGGGCGAGAGAACACGCTGGCACGCTGGCGCCGTCTATGCGGTGACCTTGGAACTGCATCTCACAAGAGCGAAGGTTTTGCGGGATTTCCGAGGTCAAATGTGCATAATACCTAAAAGAAAGGCTCGTTTATAACGTTGACAAAAGTTTTTCGAGCCAAGAAAGAAAGGACAATGCGCGAGAGAAATAGAAAATATACCGGACCGCCAAGTTTACACTGCTACTCAATAGATGGTGCCAGTGTGTCTTCTCGTTGTAAGAGGTTTCAAGGAACCCAGTTTTAAGAGGTTGCAAGAGTATGAACGAGCCTTTAATGGAGAAGAGCTTGCATCCTAAGTTTACTTACTGTTTTCTAAGGAGCAAGGTAAGAAGTTGCTTCCATTGCAAGCCTCCTTTCTCAAAAACTATGCTGTCACAAGGCCTACTGACATTGGCCCTGAGCGCTCCACAGCTCAGAGCGCATGAAGCAAAAGCTGGCACTGCAGTATCCAGGGGTCTTTCTTGGGTTCAATCCCCACCCCTGCCCGTTTGGATCTGGATGAGCATCGTACCGGCGTGTGGTCATGTAAACACTACAACACGATACACATTAAGAACCTACAGGTTAGCGGTTGCAATGCCTTAGTCAAATTTCTCATCTACAACATAAATCAGTGTTACCATACGTCAAAGGCAGGCCAACCTCTCTCTGTGTTGTCTATAGTAAATGTCTAACTTCCTTTTTCTTTTCTGGAAGATGCAAGACATTATCCATGCCCAGGATACAAGTAGGACTCAGTAATGAGGAGCGATGGGCCAATAAAAATCACAAGGCATAAGCTGCGTCGCGTTACAATGCCTGTGGCATATGCCACCCAAAGTCCCAAATCAATATGTTCCCAAATACAGCAAGCGTGCAGACAAGCTGGTGGAGGTTGGTCATGTTGAAAACTACCCGAGACTGCGGTAAGAAATGGGAAACTTAGTAGAAGAAAAAGACACAGGAAAAGGAACGCCTCAAAGTAAAACTCAGACGCTCCTTGTCCTGCAACTTTTTTCTACCAAGTTTTCCACCTTTTACCACAGTCTCAGGTAATTTTCAATGTCATCAATGTTTTCTGTCAAGTTGTGACAGTAAAACAATCCCATCATCTCCATCTCATAGCATCAACCAGTGGCGTATCCAGGGGGGAGGCTTATGAGGCTTCAGCCCCCCTCTGAAATCCAGCCAACCCTATAATATACACAGACACTTTGAACCCCTCTCCACCCATTCACACCCCCAATTCATGGAAATCCCAGCCACCTTAACCCCCCACCCCCTCCCCCCCCTTCCTGAAAATTCCTGGCTATGCCACTGGCATCAACATCATATTCTTAGCAGAATTGTAGGAATGCCCATAGTTTATGAACACCCCATAATGCACAAGTGGCCCAACTCAACCAAATTTAGATAACAACTTCAGCATTAAATAACAGATTACGTGCTTGACAAGTGAGGTGACAGCTGGCACTGACCTATCCCTCACTTTTCTATGCAATCAAGTGGAGGGAACAGGTGCAGTCACCAAAGGGTTCCAAACAAAGGCAACACGAAGAGAAACGGCTCACCGCAGGTCTTGCACTCCACAGGGAGGGAGCAGTACTTGCCGCTGCACTGGGGACAGAAAAAGCCGCTCTTGCTCAGTCCCTCCGACGTGTTCTGACTGTCTAGGTGGCTGATGGTCAAATGGAAAACAGAGACTTATTTCAAGAACCACAACCAAACAGAACAGTAGGGATTAAACAGAACGCGAAACATTAACGCTAAGTGCAGCTTGTGAAATGTAGGCGGCTCTGCAGTAAAGGCTCGTTCAGAACTTATGACAGCTTAACACGAGATGACAGACTGGTATCCCATATTGGGTAGCTTCCCTCCTTTCCCTACAGTCTACAGCTTGTACTTTCTCATCTTTTACACGTCATTCTTTCAGTGTGGGTTGAAACAATCCTGACAATGAGAAAAGAAACCATCTCTCATAGATGGCACATAGATTCAGTATCGCAAAAACTGTAAAAACTCCAGCATTAAAATATTTGCACACAGGCACCCCACGTTTCAAATCTGTGCAGTGCATCATAGCAGAAAGCAAGGAATCGTAAGGCAGTCTGTCACACACAGACACAAATGTCTGAACCAGCCTTAACATGGCTTTTACTTTATTTTACAAGCATAGGAGACATAACTTTCTTAGAGGTTGCATGCAAAAAAGTGTGAACGATTGCCAAGGTCAGGGGATCCCACTTCAAAATATTAACAACAAAAGGATGCAGCTCCATAACTGCATAGTGCAGCGAATGATCTCAGGCCCTCTGGCTTCATTATATAACTTTCCAAGAGGGTATAGAAGTTCACAGGAGGCACTTTGAGCTCACCAAAAACAGATGGACGGTTTCCCTTCACCCTCTGTTCGTTGGTAGGGAAATCCTGTAAGTCCCAAGCACATAACATGAGTCTGCACAAATGGTAGTGGTTACAAAACTACATGTTTTTTGCGGGTACAGTAGATTCTTGTCATATAACCCAGATTTGAAATGTGAAGTCAGTCCTATTTGAAATACTAGATGCTAGAAGGACCACTAAAGAGTAGAAATAGTAGAAACTAGAAATAACACATGGTAGAGAATATAGATAAAAGCTAGAAAGCAAAGGAAGCTATATTTGAAATACCAGAAGCTGGAAGAAATACAACAAATTCTGAATACTGGAAATACTAGAAGTCCACAAGCTTTAAAACTTTCACCAACTCAAAAAATGCACCACTGTAAGAAAAAACTAAAACGAAAATACTGCTTTTCAATGGCCATCATAACATTGACCCCCGCCGTCACCGCTGAAAAAGAGCCAAGTAGGCATCGAAACAAAGTGTTCCCAATTAGGGCCTGGTTAGACGTCTTTTTTTTTTTAAATTATTCCACCCAACCGGACTGATCTCTGTCGAATGTCCTAATCTAGAAGCTTGAATGCTTCAAGAAACGAAAAACATTACCAAGAAAAATTACTTGTGCAATGGGGTACGTAAACTAAAGCGTGCATACCCAATTTTTCTAGTTTCCTCTATCTCAGATTATCCTAATGATAAAAGTTCACCAGCTTGCCTACCTTTAATTCTGTTATTTCTTTTTGGTTAAGTGAGGTTCCTAGAGTTTACTCAAACATTCGGTAGAGGTCCCTCGGGAAGAGGGCCCGTAAATCTATTTCTCCTCAGAGGATACAGAGAGCTAATCATTGTGACTTATGAAACTAGCCCAGCAAATGACAAGGCAAAGAAGTGGTTTGACAAGGTAAATTTATGGGTTTACATGCTAAACCAACATAGGGCATAGGTGCATCCCAGAGGAGGTCCGAGGATTAGTTTTGACCACCTGGAGTTCGTTCGACGTGCAATCGTAATCTCAGCCCTCTCCGCAACAAACCTCATCATCATGTGGGTACCTCGGAGGGGGTTGGAACGAGTCAACTAGGATTCAGTAGGTCAGTGCTTTGCACGAATCCACCGAGGCAGCGAAGAAAAAGAGAGAGAGAAAACAAATGGTGGTTTTTGAGAGATTAACAGCGAAGTGATTTGGACTAAAAAATATTATTTGCACTACTTCTTCGGCCATCAAAGATTGTTGTGCTTAGTGATTCAGTGGAGGTTGGCTTTTCCAATTAAATGATACCTGCCACAGTTTGCTAGGTCACCATCATCCGCTCCTTGCATGATTACGTGAAACAAGACATGTGGGCATCTTCCTACGATGGTCAACAGACATCCATTTAAATATGGTAGGATCATGAAATTCCTTACCCATTCTGATGAGAGAGGATTCAGAATTTCCCTGAAAAGCAAATGAACAACAAATAGTAATAAAAAAACTATCAATTAAGCAGAGGAAGCTCTGGTCAGTCTCATTTAATTTGAAAGCAGGAATATGGTCATGAAGCATCCAAACTTGAGCATGTTCTACGAGCATTAGCGTGCAGCATTTTATGCTGAACTTTGGTGTCAAGCATCTCGGTACTGCACCACAAATGTCAAAAATGAGGAGACTGTACCAGCACTCTACAGTTCTACTCACGTCTGTGGAAAATTCTGTCAATGACACAACACATTATCTGCAGCTACAACGAATGAATTTGCACAAGACGCTGGACAAAAAGATGCCATATTTCAGCTACTTATCTGCACTGCGGAAAAGACTGCTTCTTTTCCTGTTTCTTTCTTTAATAGGCTTTTTGTACCCTTTTTCCTGTGTAAAATCGGAACCATATTCTCACATACCCAGGGTTTTAGAATAAAATAGCACAATAACATAAGACCAAAGCTAGAAAGCCTTGATCAGCATTCAATGCAGCATATGGGAAAGATGCCACATATGAACGGAGAGTTCCATGTTTATGTGTGTGTATTACAGATGTTTTCGAGTGTGTTTGCATATTAGGCTAAGCACACTGACTAGAAGAAGGGCATAATGCAAGTACTTAAATGTGATAAGCTCTTTCTTTTAAATGAATTACAAATTTATTTGGAAATTACCATATGCTTCTTGCAACTCTTCATTCTTTGGTGCTTCCAAGCAAGCAGATCATTCTATATCACATGAATTCTTTTTTCAATATCTCACTTACTATGGCAGTCCCTCAAAAATTTAAAGGCACATTCATATCACATGCTAATCAATGCAAAGTGGGTCCCTCATAAGAACCAATTTGCATGGACCCATATAACTTGCATTTGAGCCAATTGTTTTTACAAGCTAGGGACAAGCTGTGCAATCATAATACCTAGGTATGTATAAAATTATACAACTAATTAATAAAATAAATAGTAAATCTCCCCAAATTCAAGATATCAAGTATGAAAATAAAAAAGGCTTTCAAAACATTAGGAATCACAATAGCTACCCCTGTTAACTTTAGAAATGCATAGTGTTTTTTCTTGCTTTTCTGTTTATTTTTGAGTTTGTAGGCTAAAGATAACTGTGGTCATAATTCCATAAACTGATGCACATATTCACGTTTATATGATCTCTCACAAACCCCTACACACAAGCCACATAGGACTTTTCTAATATTATGTGCCCTGTTGAAAGGAGAGGAGGTAAACTGTGTACATCAAAGAACCTGTAAGGACTAGATGGCGGAACCACTTGGTCAAAGAGACCTTTTTAATCTTTCCTCAGAAATTGTACCACTCACCGTGACGGGTGGTGGGATGGCATGCTGAAACAGAATCTCTTTGAAGTGATTCTCATCCATGATTACGTTGTAAGTGCCTGGAAGCAAAGGAGAGAGCAAGTCGAGGATCATACAGACATATTATCATGCAGAAACAAAAATCAAAAGGGACTGCTCTTGTTCTGGAACACACCGTTGAAGATCATGTACAAAAATGAAAAGAAAAATGAACATATGTAAGACAACCTTACCTCCAGTGGCTTTGGTGAGAGCACAGCACACACGAACTTCAGCTGCAAGGCCAACCACACTGCAACGAATGCTGCACTTCTGCATTGCCTGCATAAAAACATAAGAATGGAGTCAAATGCACGGCATACCCTGTTCGCCTTTACCAACTGATGCAATATCCTCTCCGAAACGAATGAGCTAGGTTAAATTTCACAATAGTGAAAAAACCTGCAAACATCAAACAAGTGGAAAGTGGGCTGGCCCCATTTCTGCCAAGGCCTTCTGGGCAGTGCAGTTTCTAGGAAAGGGCTATCTCTCATTGTTCTTTCATAAATACCGTATTTATGTGAATGTAGGTCGACCCATTTTTCAATTTCTGAAAATCTGAAGAGGGGGGCTTGACTTATAATCGAACCAAAGCATTCTACCTCCGACAAAAACTAAACAATCGCGATATCAAGAACACCTCCACTTGGTACAAGTTCAGCCAGCTGTGCTTGCAACATTGCACTATTCTGTGTGCTCAATTTTTTATTCTTTTTTTTTTTTAGATTTGCGCAAACGAGTATTATTGATGGCGATTCGCAAATTAACCCGAATGTACGGCGGTGAACAGCGCACCGCGAGCCCGACTTCCGGAGGTGGCGGCACTTCTTGTGAGAGCCACTCCGGAGGCTGCTCGAACAGCCTCACGGCTCACTCCCTGCGGCGTATTTTTGCAATTTTTCGCGCGATCCACGGTCACACGTCGTTCGATCAAGTGTCGAGATCATGCTGGACCACGCGTGATCCGGCAGTTTGGGTTTTTGGTGCTTGTTTATGGCCATTCTTCACCCAGAAACAACCAACAACTGCGCTGTTGGTCGACCCGTCGGAACGGGTGACGCTCCAGTGGAGTCTGCAATGGCGCGGGATCTTTAACTGTGACGGCAAACGAAGAGTCTTCCGTGGGCCAAAGGCTGGCAACGTACGCCACAAAAGTGTGCAATCAGTTTCTACCCGCGACGTGCAAAGCGATCACCGGGCAAGCATGGAAGATGCAGTCATTTGCGAAGTGGGAGATTTCGTTGGACGACGCCGACGACGTGCTTCGAGAACGTAGCAGTGATGACGACGAAACTGACGTCACCAGTGAGGACAAGACGTAGTCTAGTCGCGGACAGAGTGAGAACAACAGGGAGCAGCTTCAGCTGTCCCACCTCCAGCGTGAACTTCCTAGTTTCGATAACGCCTCGGCATCTCATGCACTTTGCGCGTACATGCGCAGCGAAAGCACGCCAGAAGGCATCGATCGTGTGTTGGAGGCTGGGCTTTTGAAACAGATACTTTGCCGTTCTCATGTGTTCGCAATAAAACGCGCATCTAAATTTTTTTTCTTTTGCTTATGTGCAATGTGGGTGGGTGAGGGGGAGGGTCGACTTACGATCGAGTAAATACGGTAGAAAATAATTTCGAAAACATGAGTGGGCTCTCTTTCAGTAGTGGGGCCTCTCTCAGAATATATTACGGTTTCATACCTCAATCGTTTTGTGGATGTCGCTAGGATCGCAGGTGGTAAGGCTTCCCATCACGACAAGCACCTCTCGACTGGTGTGGGTCGGTAAATGCCTGGAACCATAAAAAGGAAATTAAGTCAAACCTGCTACCAGACATGCCAAAATACTGAGTGTTTAATCTGGCACTGTTTAGTATCGTCTTAAAATGACGCTCTGCAGATAAATAGTCAAACTTGAGGCATGTAAACCGAAACTGATTTCAACTTGCTTCAGTCACCTTGCCAAGGACTTAACTTTGTTTAATGTGACCTCAGCAATGACCAATGACTTTATACGATTAAGGCAAAAGACAAAGAACAGAAGACTCAATCGTTGACTGGTGCCCAAGGCTCGCAGGAACTTGAGCTGAGATTTCACTACAGAGCACAATAAAAAGCTGCACCATTTTAACATGTACTACTTATAACAAATATGTACTAATGCCATTTCTATAAAATGGGACAATCACGAATATAAAAAAATGGGTGCTCCAAGAACCCTCTGGGGTTCCTAGAGCTCCAAAATTTCCTCGAACATCCTAGCACCTTGGTAAAGCATCCTCCTAGTTTAAAGCTTTGAGGCAGTAAGAGCGGAGAAAGGAGCGAAAGGGAAAAGGGTAAGAAAAATGCATGAGGGGAGAGAGAGAAAAGAGTAAGAAAAAGGCATGAATGCCCCGTTTTGGTTTATCTGTTTTAGAGGGCCTGAGCTACTCAGTGGTAGATAACTACAGGAAAAGCACTCCATGGTATGTATCTTCGTAAGGTCTGTGGGGCAAGTGAATCACTGAATCAACGCTGAGACCAAAAGAAGTTCCTTGGCTGCCATTCAGAGAGATGAGCATTTCTTGAGATTCAAACATCTGAGAACCCTTTGCCTAAGCATTTGTGAAAAAAGGGCATCAGGTGATCCATTCTATTCTGACACTGCACAGACCCAGATCGTTTTTTTTTTTCTTTTCTTGATAACCTGTATAGCTTGCGAAAATAAAACTCGACAACTGAGTAGCCACTAACAGCGTCAACTGTACTTACCGGAGCACCTCCGCCGCCAGTTCCAGAGAGTTCTGCAAGGAGGGTTCTCCCGACGGCACCTTGTTGGTGGCCGACCGGAGAGCCTCAACCACTTTCGAAGCATTGCCTGTTCGGACAGATACCAAGAGGTCACTATCTGCACTGGTACAGACGCTTTTATTCAGCTGTCCATGAATTGAGTGTAATTTACTACCATTTTATGCACTTTTATTCTGATCACTTCACTTCATCTCGCACAAAGGGTGCTTTTTTAGACACCACAGCATTCTCGTCTTTCACGCGGGATTTGTGGGTGTTTGTCGTACATGTCTGCGCTGGCTGGGCACTATGATGAGATGTGGAAGGGTTACTGACTTTTTCCGTACCATGTCCATTGGCTGTTGGTCAACCGCGAACGATGGCTTTCATGCACCGTCGAAATTCTGATTTGGCGTGCCGGAACACGTCGCACCATCTCGTGGATAGCCGAAGGACTACTACAGATTCAGTTTCAATTTCGTTTTGTGCTTTCTCCCATAACTGGTAAGCTATCACAAATAAATCCTTGCATGGTGGCGGCATGCAGGAATTCGCTGCTTGCTTTTTTGGATGACAGTACCAGCGAGGACTGTGGACAATGTTGGATCATTTGATTCGAGCTCCTACAGAGATGTCTGATCTCTGAGGCACAGCATACCGACGGGTGCACGTTGGAGAGCATCATTCTAACTTTCTAGGCTGCCCTAGGCCGGGGCACACATTTTATCTGTGCCGCTTGCCATAAAAACATTAGTAGAGCAGAAGTTAGAGCAGTGCTTTTAACAAACCTAGGTTTTGTAAACAAAAAAAAAGAATGTTCTGAAGGACATGTACCTCTGCATTCAACAACATGCCTGAAAGGTATAATTCCACGCAAGCACACTTGCCGTTGGCGGAACAAGAAAAGATTGTATCAGTTAGAACAGTGGTTCTCAAATCGGGTTCCGCAGACCCTAGTCATTTTTGGGGTCCACAGCACCCTCACCTCAACCACCCAGCCTCTTTTTTTAAATGGACCATGAAGCCAATTTGGAAGTTTTATTTGACGATAGAAATGTGCATCGGGCACGTCTTAGACACTGTTGACCAAGTTCTAACCTGAACAGACGTTTGGGTGCCGCACCAATAAATTAAACAGGTATGGAAATAACCGTGCTGGGAACAATGCCAGAGACCCTCCCGAGCCGGCGACAGAAACGTGAACTAAAGTGATGCGCTACATCAAAGCATGACGACACCGGCTCCTCGCCAGGCGATTCGTAAAACGAATGACGTGCTCTTGGCGTTGCGGCAGCGTTGGCGAGTCGGGCAGAGAGTCGCCCGCTGTGAGGCGGCGACTGAGGTGCTGTTGGCTAAGGTACCTCAATATATGGAAAGGTAGCGACATCTTTCACCCTCACCCTTTACTTTCTTTCTTCCTCTCTTTTTGGCGACGCACACGCTGCCTAAGGGGTACCAAGAAGAACTAGCAGACGACGGCCGAGTCATCTCTGTGCGTCCAGGGAGCACACTTGTTCACGTTGTGTATTTGCAAGTGCAGGCTGCTGATATATACTCATAGTGCATAGTGCCATGCAAGTGTTAAACACCTAGAGAAAATTAATTAAAGGGAACCTGAAGCGGCTTTGGAATTGAGGAAACGCACTTAAATCATCTTCCTTTGACCTCCAGGACATCGAATATCGAAATAATTTTTTATTTCAGCGCATGGAGACAGCAGAAAATCATTTTCAAAGTAGTGCTGAAGGCCCTCCTTCCCGGAGTGAAAGGTCAGAAAAGGAGTTTTCGGAATCTCCGCTCTCGCACATCTTCAGCGCCCATCAAAGCTATGCACGCGCACTTTCGCTATTTTTAAAAACGCCAAAAAAAGATGTCATGACTGGTGCTAGTGCGACGGAATATACCTGGCAAGCTTGCGATTGCACGCGCGGCCCTCGAGCGACATGCACTTGGGGGCCGAAGGATCCTCTAATGGCGTAACGACTGCTCGGAAGCTTTTCGTGTTTTTTCGCGTTTAGTTACATCTTTGGGGAAAAAGAATGGTTTCCCCAAAGGTTCACAGGATAAAACTATGCTAAAATCAACCTCTATCTCATTTTTTTTAAAGAAGTGTTCCAGCTTCCCTTTAAACGTGCTGGCAGCGCTTTCTACCTTCGGATAATGCTTACAGAACTAAAGAGTATGATGTGGTTCTCACAAACGCTGTAAGCTACCTTCAATGTAAATCAATAAAAACATATGTTTTGTGTTTTTTTTTTGCACGGCTAAAGGGTTAGTGTGTCGTGAATACGTCAGAAAGCCTTTGTGATATTTAGCCCTACTGCATGGCGGGAAATTCCCGATTCTGCGATCTACCATGAGCCCAACGACGACAAGCGCGAATTGCGATCGCTGCTGTCTCTATGCTAAAAAGACCTTGAGAAGTTATACCAATCATACTGCAGATAAGTATGCATAAGCTATCAGTAGGCAGGACAGCGTACTATAGCGATCATTGCTGTCAAGGTGTTTTTGTCCAAGGCCTAGCGTACATGTGCACGAAAATAATCACACTTTGGATGGGAAAATAACACATTTCCGTAAGGAAACGGCTCACAATTCTTAGGGAATTACAATCTGTATACTGCGTCGGATATGCGACCCTTTGATATGCTAGAGAAGAAAAAGGCCGCATACTATTATGCTGTGCATGGGACAGTTTTTTTTTTTGTGGCATCACTATATATATATAAAAAAAGGAACCTGCCAAATTGTTCGCACCGCTCAAGCAGATGTGCATTTGCTAACCAATCTTCACGAACAGATACACTTTGCTACAATGTGCGATCAGCATAATATCCACTCGCAGAAAAATGCCAAATGCCAACTAAATATTCTCCTTCTCTTTTTGTAAGCTCCTTAATTAAAGGTTTCACTTACGACAATTATTGCTTGGGAAGTGTGTACTATGTACAGCGTGAGAAATCGCAAAAGTTAAAACTCTCACGATCGAGTAAAATTAAAGAAACCCTCAGTTCCGCTAAGCGTGCTCCTGCATTTAAGGCTTTCCTAACCTTTCCTTTAAAAGTTATAATAACTTATTTCACACCCTTGTACCTGTCATAGGTGTGAAATCCTTCCTCCTGATTCTGTACAACTACACTTTTCTTCTTGTAGTGTTCTCTTTCCCGCGAGGAATGCGCGGGAAAGCTTTTTGCCACCACCTGTTTTAGAGCTGCAGTTCACTGCACAGCAACCAGGCATCTCGGCCGTTTCACAACGCGATTCGTAGCGAAACATGTAAACAGTGATCCTGGTCTCGCCGAAAAACTATGAAAGGTAAACGAGACCAGCAAGCGACAACAACAAAATTAACACGAGCACCTAAACAAGTCCGGATCCACCCGGCATAAAGCCCACCCGGCGCTGGCGCAGCCAGCAACCAGACACGGCAATATCTGCTGAATCCTTAATGGTGGCCAAAGGGGTGGAGCACCAGGGGAAGGTCACGTGCCATACGCAGGCCTACCGCTGAGCTTGGCAGCGTGATCATAGGTTGTCGCTACTTTTCCAGTATAGAGCGACTTTACTGTTGGCAAGTCTGGGGCACCCTCGTAAAGTGCCAATCCAGAGTTTTGCGTGCTGAGAAGGGGTCTCCCGTTCAGTCAGCGCAGGGTCTGCGGGCATGGGGGTGTCATCCAATTTCTTCAGTTCACAGACCGCCGTGCACTATAGTCAACCGTGTGAACCACGCTGAGCGTCCACTTAATCCTGTCGGAAACCGACAGTGCTCTCTGAAGCCCCGTCCGAATGTTTGTTTCGGCTTAAAAAATTTATTTGCAGGCACAAAAATAAGAGTCACAGAGCTCTAAAAAAAATTGAGTGGCATGCTACGACCCCAATGCGTCCGAAACACCTTCTTATAAAAAGATTTAGAATTGCCTTCGTGATCCTTTAAAAGAAAAAAATGTTGACCTTGGCTAGGTGGTGCAAGCTACCGCCCATTATAAAAGGTACAGCCGTTACCATATATCCATTCATTCATCCTTTTACATGATATTTCTATTTCTCCTATCTATAACAGTAAAAGTAGCCCATTTCACACTGCAATTAGTTATTTTATACCCTACCCAACCCCTAAACCCGCTGGCATGGGGTCCCCCATCACTTTAGTGCCACCACGAACCACGGAGTCATAAATTTTTTTGCTTGAAAAAACACCAAAACATTATTTTAAAGGAATAAATTAAATGTTGTTACGCCATTCTCCACTTAAAAGCACAGCTGCTTTGCGGAAGTATGGCAGTAAGCTGCATGCGCGTGAGCTCCCATTCAGACCCGATTTCCCTTCTCTTCCGGCCTATTCAACTCCTGAGGGGAGTGGGGACCAGCAATGGACCTTTTTCCAGTAAGGAGTGCCCCATGACGGTTTCGCCGCCTACTACAAATGGAGGGCAACCGGACTCGCCTTCTCCCATAGGAACAGATTAGTGTCGCAAGAAAACAGTGCCCCCCAAAAATGGCGAAAGGGCGGTCAAGGTCAAGTGGAAAGGGTGTGCGCGTGCGCAGGCGCTTACTGGAAAAAGGTCCATTAAAAACGGCCGGGTTGTAACGCGTTGACAACGCCAAGTGGTAGAGCTCATAACCGTGCCAACCCCCAAGCAGCTTTGCCCGTGCTGGACCAATAGACGTCACGACTCTGACGTCGATTGGTCAAGCCCCCGTGATGCACCGCACTCTTCGATGGCTGATCTTCGAGCACTCGCTGGAAACTGTCCTTTGGAACAAAAGGTATCGCCATCCGTTCAAAACATAAGCATGCGATAGTCATTAACAGATAAAATTGATAATGTTTAACTTATTTCTGATTGTGAGAGGTATATTTTAAGTTTCGATTCAGTATCTCTTTAATAAAGCCGCAAATGTCTAAACCTTTTCTTTTCCATTTTGCAAAAATTTCTAGTTCAGCATTTAAATTTTCACTAACTTTTTTCAGATATTAGTGTGAACCTTTTTTTTTCTTCTAAAGAACAGCTTATTGGCTACACTTTGATGTATCATAGTTAACCATATGCTGTATAGTTCTTAAAATAAAAATAAAAATTTGTCTAGACTTCAAAAATTATCTCCTTTGCCCATGGTACGAGAAGAGGTAAGGATGTCTCTAATTGGCACGTGCTAAAGGCGTCTATGGCTAGTGAGCAATGCACAGAACGAGGGCAGCTTAGCAAGCAATGTGACTGAAAAAGCCTAAGTAGGCCATTTAAGAGTGCTTGTGAACATGGTACTGTAAATTATAGAAACAAAATTTTAAAACATTTACCTAAACATGATAATTTTATTTTGTTGAGAAGCACTTAATAAGTGCATTCGTTGATAATGCTGTTACGAAGCAGGAAGAGCACAGTGATTGCACCTTCAGGGGTGGAACTCATGAAATGTACTTAGGAGCAGCCACGGGAGCAGCTGAAACAGCTGTTTTGGAGCAGGTTGGGAGCAGCTAAAACTACATCCTGGAGCAGGCTAGGAGCAGCTCAGATCAGTTTGCATTGCACTTCAGCTTGTATCTTAGACAAGCACGAAAGCAATTTCAATTGTGCTTAGCAGCAGAGATGAACATGAGCGGTTAGGGACCTAGGTAGAGGGGATAACAGTGTAATATATGCGAAAACTTGAATCTTTGTGAGCCTTAATGAGAACCAAACAGCAAGTATACTCTATGTTTCTGAAGATAGCGTCCTTGATATTTTCTGAGTGGCCTTCAGACGCTCAAGATGCAAACCAGCTCTGCTTATCGCACAACCCACACGTGCTCGACATAGTAATTATACGTGCGAACCACGTGACGTGCGTAAACAACGGACGTGCAGTTGCACGGAGGAACAGGGCAACAAATTTCGAGTTTATCCTATTGTGCAACTCGACATCGAAGCAGCAGGCTACGATTAACGGAGTTATCGTATTCGAAGCGATAAGCAGGAGCAAGGTTAAAGTACGCCGAGCAGATAAGTAGAGCTGCTGACCGGCAAGTTTCGGATCGGACCGCGTTTCAATTCTATCAAATCACGATTTATCTTGCAAGAATGCGGTTCCAACTCCCAACGATGAAGCACTAAAAGGAATATTTTGCTCATTTGCTTTCGACTGGATGACGTCCAGATCCCGGGCCGCAGAGCCTCATGCAATCTGACGCTTAACGACTCGACCTCACCTCGGCCTACTTGCCCTACCGCTTATGGTTGAAGAGTAACAATCCAGTCGCAGGTGGTGTAGCGCTTAGAATCCGAGTTTTTTCGCGCGCTTCCGACTCGGGATAGACGAGGGGAATAAACAGAACAAAGCATTGCAAGGCCGACCAGGCTAAACGCCCTCATTGTTGACAATCGAGTCGATAAAAACCGAAACCAAGACAAAATAAAATGTTTCTTTTTGGCGCACGTTTTGCGATTTGGCGCATAATGGCGCGAGATATTGGCTGTGGCGCACTTTCTGCAACATGGCGCAGGATGGCGCAGACACATGCGTCTGGCGCAAAATGGCGCAAAATGGCGCAAATGGCGCGACCGTTCCACCCCTGCACCTTTCCGCACTAAACCATGGCTTCAGTAGTTGAATGTTCCAGAACAGATAAAAATTATATTTTCGGTGTGCATGAAAGTGTTACTCCAAGACGGAAGTACCATTCATGCTCCTGGAAGTGTTTGCGCATTGCCACTTTATTGGCACCAAAAGTGAGTCACTTATGGCGAATTCGGGTGGTCAATCGCCCGCGAGAACGAGCCGGCGGAATTGGCAACCAGAAACGCGCCAGCGGCACACCACGTGACCCTCACCACCCGAACACGAAACGCCAGACGGTGGCAGTTTACTTCGCCTCTTGCCCGCGCGACACCGCTAACGAGAGCCTGTCGCCGCCGTCACCCATGTCCCAACGACTTGGATTGACTCTCGTAGCGGCTGCTAAAGTGACTTCAGATCAGTTTCGTTCTTTCGTTCATTTTTTTTCTCACTGACCTTCTCTCTCATTTCGGAAGTGACGACACCGGATACAGTCTGGCGCCTACTCGCCCGGCCGTTCGGAGCTCGGCGGAAAAAGCGCCGGAAAGTTGCCGGTGCTTGCCGGAGAACCACCGTTCGAACGGTGCGCGCCGGCCGGAAACTGACCACGCGAACACGATTGCCGGTTTTCCGGCAAAATAAGTTGCCGACGATTGACCACCCGGATTCGCCATTAAACAGTTAGGACTATTGCGTGGCTTCTGAGTCACTACAAGAAGAAGGCTCAACGGAAACATCCTCCTCGTAAGCTCAGATTGGGCAAAGATTTCTGACAATTCTGAGGTAGATATTGAGACATTCTGGTTTGCAGCAACTGCTAAAACTAGCAAACCTGCACAGATGGAGAATTTTGAATTTCATGCTGTCATCCTAAAGTGCATTTTCAGCAATACAGCAGCTAAATCATGTGATAATCGAGGACAGAAACCTCTTTTTAAGAATGGAATTAAGCCGAATTAATACATTTTGACTAGGGGATACTGAATAAAAGATTGAAGAAAAAAGATTCCCCTGTCCACTCTCATAAGCCAAATTTGAAGTTCAGTGCTGATCTTTCAAAGTGCGGGAATACAGAATGCACGATATGCTTGTTTGCCCTCTTCCAGCTATGCTCTAATTTCATTCAACCAGTGTAATGCTCAGCTCACAACGCCGATGGAAATCTATTTTTCAACCTGTCTCCAAGTCGACGGCAATGCTCGCAGATGCAAAACCCCGAGACAATAGGATCACGATAGCAGGGGACGTACCGACGAGGTCGAAGAGCTTCTGTGCCCGCTTGTTGCTCGTCGAGATGACACCGACATTGCTGATGGGGTTCTGGTCGAAGAACTCCTCCACAAACAGCTCCAGCATCTGCAAGAAACGCGAAACACATCGACACGTCAGTCCCAGAGATTTATGCCCCCCAAAATACATCGCCTACTGTAAAATCCCGAGATATAGCCCACCTAACATTGAGGGCAAATCAGGTGAAAATATGGAGTGGGCTAACTTTTGGAGTACAATCAAGAAAATTTAAACAAATTGCTATTTTTAAGTTGTATCACTTCCAAGCTTGTTATGGTGGCGAGGGGCAACAAAGCAAAGATGACTGTACTTCTCAGTCAGCAACGTTCGCTTATATCCCGCCAAAGCTAACTAGCCGCATGTACGCTGAGGCCATCACTGATCACAACACTACTATTACTAGGGGTGGGCTATCTTTCAGTGTTTAAAAAGATATAGTAAATCAAGCCAAAAATAGGTTTGGGCTATCTTTCGGGGGTGGGGCATCTCTCGGGATATTATGGTATATGTAGATCCGTCCTCTTAATGCTTTCCTCCTCTATTATCACCCAGAAACAGCGCAGCTAAACCACAAGAATGCTGTGCACCAGCTTGGTCGATTGTGGCCGCAAACCCCCTCGGACACCAGCACGAAGAAAATGGTGATGAAACATTTTTACTCATTAAAAATAGTCCTTAAAGAAAATGTGAGACTTCAACAGAAACTCAAGAGTGCACGTGGGTTGAAGTGTAAAAAATGTAGCTATAGACAATGACTGGGTGGGAGAGGCAGGGTGTGTCTAAGATGCACAGCTTGCAGAATGTGCACATTGCTTTCCGCCGCATACTGTCTGCACGCCCACGCTCACAAGACACCGAAGTGTTATCGAAGTTATCAGGGGTGGCACAGCTGTGCCAAAAGCGTGAAATTTACCAAAATTAAGCCGCTCTGCGCCAAAGATCACGGTGACTCTAGATCTAGCAGAAGGTGAAAGTTTGCAAGCCGCTGCCCGATTCCTCAGTTCAGCCGTATCTGTTCATACATACATACATCCGACGGGTCCGATGTATACATCCATACATCCTAAATGTTGTACTGTTGCATCATACATCGTACTGACTACAACAAGTGATGCTACGTGTAGCATCAATGTTCCTGAATCGTGCCCCTTCATTTTTAATCAAAATTTGTTCCTAAAATGAGATATATTTTTGTGTGCAATTGCAGATATTTAGAAGTAAAGTTCTAGTCAATACTTCCCAACACTTGTAGCACAAAGCAAGTTTGCTCGAAGTGTAACTCATGGTAAACTGCTCAATGAAACGAAATGGACCAGCGGAGTGCATGGCCTCGCTAAAGCGCTGGATATCCTGACTTATCCTCGCAAAAAATGGCGACGCGTCGCCATTTTTTGTTTGTGGCGCATTCCCATCCAGACGTGCACGCTCCTGTTGGTCTGCTGCATCTGCTGGTGACACACCGCTGTTTGCGAGCATATTGCTATTGGTCTACTGTAGATGCCAGCGCCGTGGCATTGTGACAAACTAGATTGGCGGCGATGCTCGCCATTTTTGGCTTGTGGCGCATTCCCATCCAGACGCACAGGCTCCTGTTGGTCTGCTGCGTCTGCCGGTGACGCACCGCTGTTTGCAAGTATATTCTTATTGGTCTACTATAGATGCCAGCGCCGTGGCGTCGCAACAAACGAGTGGTGGCGATGCTCGCCATTTTCGGCTTGTGGCGCATTCCCATCCAGACGTGCACGCTCCTGTTGGTCTGCTGCATCTGCCGGTGACACACCGCTGTTTGCAAGCATATTCCTATTGGCCAACTGTAGATGCCGGCGCCGCGGTGAACTAGATTGGCGGCGACGCTCCACCATTTTTGGCTCAAGTGCGTCCCAGCATGCACCAGCTTGGCCGTACTTGTTTATAAAATCCATCCAGCACTTTAGATCTTGCATACCTGAGCGCCATCTGCTAGGAGAAGCAGTCTATCTGGCATCACGAGTTGGACATGAGTACAGCTGAGCCAAGAACTCAGCGGCTGTTCATCCTCGGTGCACAACCCCTGATAGCTGATCAATGCTGGCCATGAGATTTTAACATGACAGTGGTTTTTTTTTTTTTTCTTCTTTGAAGTACTGTAAACATATTTGTTTCCAAAGCTGAACGTTGTAAAAAAAAGTGGCCTTAACTCGCAGTGATCTCACTAATCATACTAAATAAATGTGTAGTGTCATAACACGTGGGTCCTTTTTGCAGACTGAATACATCAAATGTCTTCTTCGTTCACTGCTTTCTTTTTTTATATATTTGGGTTAACAGAACTTTGCATCCCGAAGGAAAGATAAGAATTGCTAGTGTAACGCAATGATTGAACAAAGCGGTTAAGCCATGTGTATGTGCTACTTCCGACACCAGATTGCACGGCTCCCGTTGCAGCAGGCAGAATGGGCCACGCACCCCGCTGGCCCATTCCGTTTCGTTGAGCACTGCACAACTGGCTAAGATACTTTCTTATAATGATGTCACAGTTAATCCTAAGGTGCTCCAAAGTGCAGATTTTTCATCCTTAGCACTCTTAAGTTTGGTTTCCGGCTCCTAAGCAGCTCCAAAACATATGTTTTTCTGCTTCTAAGCTGCTCCAAAATGCAAACTTTCATTCTTCAAATATTCCTTCAAAACCAGTTTGGTCTGTCCCACTAGTGAAGTTAAAAAACTAGCACTGGAGGCGAGACAACTGAAGGACCTCACTGCGGTTCTCCTCCTGTCAGTGACCATGAACAGAAAACACGAGACCACAGGAAGAAGACAAAGACAAACATAGGACGGACAATGACAATGCTTGAAATTCAGCCGAAGAAAACTTCACCAAATACATTGCAACATACAGCTGATACATATTGAGTGAAATTAATAACCCACTCTGGTTGAGTGTAAGAGCTTACTTTTTCCAGACTCATGTTTCCTAAATGCGCTTATGAGACTTGGACAGAATTTACAGAGGTTTGTCGAGGCTGTGACACCCCTGTTGCAACCAATGATAACAGTGCGGTTGGTATAAATATTCGAAGCTGTTGTCGCAATCTTGTCATATCTCTTTCAGCATCTATGCTTTGACCCTTAGATTTCAAAACGCACTACACTTAACTTCTGAAGCATTAATAAACAGCTACTAAGCAATTTGTGAATGGTGTCAGAATTAAGGGAGTCGTCGTATGCTATCCTCACGTTTCATGAGATAAGCAAGCGGTGCACCTGCTTAGAATGACCAATGACAAGCACCAAAAGAAAGGTTACCTTCAGCGTGCAAACAAGTCTCGAAGGCTTCAAGTCTGGTTCCGACATCGCTTCGGAAAAGTCCACTATGATGTAGAGATGCCGCATCTGCACAAAACAGATAGAGTCGGGGAAAGAGTAAGACATGCTGAAGCGTGAGCAAAGAGAAATAAAGTTGTTGGAAAGATGCATTTTGGACGACTCACCATCCCCAGGCGGACATTCTTCTTAGCCAGCATCTGCTTGCGCTTGGACCGATGGACGAAGTCCAGGACGCTCGGCTGAAGTAAGCCTGATTCATCTTCCTGAATTGCTTCCCTGTGGAATAAATCAACAGCGTTCCGAGAACTTAAATTTCAGAAGTACAAGGTGCATAACCAAAATCTGGAAATTTTTGCTAACGAAAGGAATAGTGATAGAACCAAAGGAAGCAGTTTCCTGAGATAGAACAGCCGTGCACGTCCCGTGTTTAGAGTACATTTTGTTTTATGAGGGGCATCTAGACGCAAGTTGTGTCAGTGCAACATAACTTGCGTCGTAATTTGAATAAAAGTACCAGGTCAATCTCCCTCCCACCTTAAGACGTGAAATACATCACCCATCATAGAAAAAGGTTACAGTGTTCGGCAGTGGCATAGGCAAGGAGGGGGCGGGGGGGGGGGGGGGGGGGGGGGGGGGGGGGGGGGGGTTTTGGGGGGTCAAAACTCTCCCCGAAATTGCCAAACCTACCCCCCTACCCCCGCTTGCTCCCCTGCTCATGCAGTCAGTTTTGCACAAGGCATAGAGGGTCAAACCCCCCCCCCCCCCCCCCCCCCCCGAAATGCCAAACCTACCACCCCCCCCTCCCTGGGCCCACTTGTTCCCCTGCTCACACAGTGGTTTTGCACATGGCATGAAGGAAAGGAGAAGTGCGCACTATGTCCAACTTATATGCTTTCGGGAAAAGTGTTTGTGGGGGTAGAAAATGCTCAAATAAATAAAATAGGCAATATTTCTTCATTCATGCTTATTTGATGGGATGCGGAACTTGATCTCAGATATACAGAGAATGGATATTTTGAAACATTTGTGGGGTGAAGGATGGCAATTTCAAGGCCAAGTATAACAAACTATCCTCATTAGAATGCACAGTTCAACCAAACCAAAGCGAACATAATAAAACGAACACATGGTTATAACATAAAACAATGTCAGTGATGTGTTAAATGGTTTGTAAAAATTAACAACTGCACTGTAAGCAACGGGTCGCACCGCGCTCACGCACATCTTGAGTACTGATCAGAATTACGTGCTTTCGACTAGAAATTACCACGAATAAAAAAGTAAGTGTGACTAGTTATTTCATAAAGCAATTTACAGGCTCTCTGGATCACCTGATATATGCCAAGCGCCTACACATTAAGATGCAACCGCCTGCATTCACGATAAAGAATATCCAGGACGTACTCCGCTTGGACTCCAATGTCGCAGTGAACGTTCAAAAGCGCTACACCGAGCAGTCGCTCATTTGAAGTGGACGCTCTCAGGTATGTTTTCAACCGTCGCAGTGAAGAGAAAAAGCGCTCAGCTCCGGCCGTTGTTACGCGCAGAGTCACTAGGATCTCGAAGAGACGATGGACATTTGGGAATTGGCGGCGTGTGCGAACTACAGGGGGCGCTTCTCTATAGCTATCATGATCATCATTTGTGACGTCACGGGTAGGACAGACTGGGACAGACCGAGCAGTTCTTGAATCCCTCGGGTCGTCAGCTCGCTTCAAACGCTGTTGGGGTTAACGCGCGGCAAATCCTGTTTCACGCGCTGTGTTTATTTGGTGAAGTGATGTTTGTAGTAGGACATTAAACCGCATGTGGCACGCGTAGTCGTGCCAACAAACACTTTTGGAGCTGAGGTGTCGAAGTGGTCGGATGGTTGGTGTGCCGCTCTCTATCTTGTACAAAAAGCTGAACGAGGAAAATAGAATATCCAGTGCTTTATCGCACTCCAGCGTCTACCACGGCGAATAGGGTGTATTTTTTATTGTGATTCGGACAAAATAAAACTAAGAAAGTGAGATCTCATCAAATTGAAAAAAAGCAAGCGAAATGCGAGAATCTCCCGCGTGTGCAGTAAACACTTCTGTGAAAGCAACTCCGTGTATCCTCTTGGTTCCAATGTGTTCCGTGAGTGTTGGTCTCCTATTAGTTCCGAGTTGATTCCTTTTCTTTTAATTGGGTAAACCAGTAAACACACATTTCTTCAAAATAACTGGCAGGAAGAAGTGGAGGCTGTCTTCCGGAGTCGTTTCGACTAAATCCCTGCTTATTCACCCGGCTGACACGAAATGTGCGAGACCCCCTGGCGATCGAAGTAATCTAGTAAGTCGGTGACACTTCAGCGTCCTAGAAAATGAGGAATATACCTGCGATACATTTACCGTTTGTATGTTTAGTTTTTGCGAACCCAAATGCGCATAATGCGTGATGCGCTCCTCAGCGAGCGATTTTAAATTTGTAAACAATTTTTGGTAAAAATAGGATAGAACAAATTAATCAATGGCCCGAATTTGCAGGGCCATGGCCGACAACTTAAGTATTTATGAAAATTTCTTCTTTTCTTTCGAGCAGAAGTCGCGATGTGACAAGCTTCTTTGCCGCGTTCTCGATTCGGGAGGAGCTAAGCGTCAGTTGCTGGGCAGAAACTGTCGAGTCATACTTGGATAGAAGCGTCGGTATCGGCAAGTTCAATGCAGCTAAAACAAGTGTGCGGTGATTTCCAATGCAACTGTGCGACCGTGCACAGCTAAGAAGACACTACTTCAAATACTCTGGTGAATGCAAAACCTTTTTCTACAGCAACCTCCACAGATCCGAAACAAACAAACAAAGAAACAAGTTAGAGAGCCTCTGAATAGCCTGACGCATGCCGCGTAAGCTTTAATGGAATGCTCCAGGCTTGTTTTTTAACATTTTAAAGTTTTTCTAATAAAAAAGCAACTTCGAGGCGCTGTTATTTATCAGAAAGATCACTCACAAAAACGTTGTACGCGTTCCTTTAATAGATAAACCGTTTTAATCTGCATAGTTGTGAACTAACATAGCCACTCGGCGCTTTGACATAGCGCGTCGTCCCATCCTGCCCACGAGGACGCGCAACCAAAAACATTTCGTTGACCACCTGAAGCGCGGACGTGACGGGCATTTCATGATTCTCCGTCTTACGTTCGGAAGCCCATATGAGCAGCTCGCATTGGAGTTCAGGGACTGAAACCAGGCCTCAATAGAGCTCCAAAAACTCTTCAGCGCCGGTAGCTGCCCTTACACACCAGCTCGCCTGCGCCCTAACTGTTTTTTCATTCCGCTTTCCAAGATCTTTGCATCAAAAGCGACAAAAGTAACTGCAACGTACAACGGTACTTTTTAAATCTCCCGTCTAACTGTGTGATCAGGTAATACATGAAAGGAAGGAACACGGAGCGCTTAAAATGCTCTTCCGTGCTTCTAGCGGGAATGCTAGCGGTGACATTGTGGACTTGTTACTCGCGGCATCTGAATTTCAACTTCCGCTTGTCTCAGCTATTTTACTGGTGACTTGGAATATGGCCTAGTGTTTGTGGGTGGATGGGTGGACGTTTGCTCTAATTTTTCGGTGTTAAATTTTTTTTTTTTTTTTTGTGTTGCTGTTTAATTTTTTGTGACACTATAGCTATCCTTTTGTTTTGTCTGGCCGGCACGCATTGGTAATGCCGTCCTACCTCAAAAAGTGGTGGGAGTTGTGTGCTGTGAGGAAGCTTTCAAAGTTGGTGGGCCGCAACTACGACGACAGTAGAACCGGGAGCCCAAATGAAGCCTGCTCCGTTTTAGCCTTTTTAATCTTTGCGTGAGCGTCCGTAGCGCCTAGTTCACCCTGCTTCGTCATTGGTGGGGTGGTGGGGGGGGGGGGGGGGGGGGGGGTAATGCGTTTCAGCCTCTCCCGAAATAAAATCCTGGCTACGCCACTGGTGTCAGGGGACATCACTTTGAATAGCTTCAACTATCTAATGGTACGATTGTGCGTGAAATAACATTCCCGCTGAATGAAAGTTGAGTATCACACTGTCACATACACAAAAATAGAAAAATTTTTATTCACCCCAGCCCCGATTCTGGTCCGCAGAAGCCATTTACATTAAAGAATTTAAGAAAATAACACCCGACGAAGTTTCGACGACGCATGCGAACCAAGAACGACTGCACCACCCTATACTTCGAGGTGCCCTAAACAGTTAAGTTTTGATGGTGCACTTTGGTAGAAAAGGCAAACAAACACTAGTCATTCACGCTTCGAACAGAGGCTAGAAATATGTTTTTAAAGTCGTACTTACCAAGTTCTTTCATATTCTGTCTCCCACCGGTAGCCTTGAGCATCCTCCTCGTCGGCCATCTTTGCTGTTTTACCACGCCATTGACAGGTGTCGCTAGTTGACGGAGTTGCGAATATTATGGTGCAAACCGAAACCAAAACCTATAAACGAGTAATACTCATTGTTTTCCATTAACACATTGGTGAACCTGGTGGTATTTCTATTAAATAGTAAAAATAAAACGCAAAGAGGACGAGATCTGATGAGTCAGCACTTTCCAAGTACTAGTAAAAATTATGACACAATCCGTCACGACGCGGGAGCAGCCCGCGGTGCATCGAAGCGCTTCAAACTGAACGTTCTTGATTTGTACGTCCTTGTCCTTTGTGCGTTAGCTTTATATTTGTTGACGTAAATCGGTTTCAACCTGAAAATATATGCCCAATTCTTTGCCCTCTCTTGCAAATGAACTCCGGTGAGGCAGTTGAGCTTCAGTTACGAAACTGTTCATAGACCAAGGAGAATAGAAGGGTAGGAGAGGGCATGACGTCAGCCGCGTAGTCTGTGTTGGTAGGGTCCACCACAGTTTGGGCTCCACGGTGGAAACATGTAGGCACCCTAGGACCATACCCTAGGCTCCACAAGCCGTGCTCCCTTGACACCTCGCCTCTTTCTCATTTTCCACCTTACTCTCCTCACTTATCAGCCCAACACAAGGAGGTTAGAAGTACTATACTCTGTTTCACCTTATGATATACCGCAGGAAAGGCTACAAGCGCGAGCTCCTTGCTCTAGGGCACATCTCGGCGGCACAAGCTCTCGTGCGGTAAGAGTAGCTCCCGAGTCCCAACGCTATGAGCTCGCGCTTCTAGCCTTCGCTGCGGTACAGCATAAGGTGAAACGGAGTATAGGAGGGGGCACGTTGCAATATTGGCGAAGCCTAGTCATAAAAAGTTTAAACGATGTTGTGGCCAACGTGACCGTAGATCTCTCTGGCAATTGGTGCGCGTGACATGTCACGTGTGAGATGGATGGTTGATTGTAGAAGGATTTTTTGCAGGCTCGCGCGCGCTCCGTCCGGTAGGTTTTATCAGATCGAAGGCTAGACTGTGGTGTGTTCTAGTACCCCATCGCTAGACGAAGGTCACGTGATGTGGTCACGTTGACCTGATAAGTGAGGAGAGTAAAGAGAAAAATTAGAAAGAGGCGAGGCGGTCAAGAGAGCATGGCTTGTGGAGGCTACGCGGCTGGCGTCATGCCCTCTCCTACTCTTCTATCCTTCTTGGCCCAACATGACCACATCACGTGACCGTACTTAGCCTTCGTCTAGCCTTCGATCGGATAAAAACTACCGGACGGAGCGCGCGCAAGCCTGCAAGGAATCCTTCTACAATCAACCATCCATCTCGCACGTGACATGTCACGCGCACCACTCGCCAGAGAGTTCTGCGGTCACGTTGGACACAATATCGTTTAAACTTCTTATGACTAGGCTTCACCAGCATTGCAACGTGCCCCTCATAGGGAGTATTCACTGGCGGCCGTATCTGTGTGCGTGGATGCTGAGCGCGTGCTGTCGGCGAGCTTCCAGAGTTCTTTTGCAACGTGCATTCCACACCATCAAGATTGCCGGTCTTAGCAGGCTACTAATGTAAGCTCGTTCTGAGCATGCGCCCTAAACATCGCCCTCAAATATGGCGTCCAGTAAATGCTCCCTATACTCCATTTCACCTTACGCTGTACCGCGACGAAAGTTAGAAGCGCGAGATCATAGCGTTGGCAGCTGCCCTTAGTGCACGAGAGCTTGTGCCGCCGAGATCTGCCCTAGAGGAAGGAGCTAGCGTTTGTAGCCTTTCCCGCGGTGCAAGTATAGTACTTATAACCACCTTGTCATAGACGCTGCTCTTGCACGAGCAGGAGGGCTATGTTGCGCTTTTTGCACTCCCAGGAGAATTGGAAGAGGGAAGTGACGTCAACGACACAGCAAATGCAGATTGGATGTTGACAGAAGAAAACGAAATCAACACCCAATCTGCGTTTGCTGTGTCGTTGACGTCACTTCCCTCTCCCTAGTCTCCTGGGAGTGCAAAAAGCGCAACATAGCCCCCCAGTACCCCCCTCACTCACCACGGTCCACGACTCGCCTCCCGTCGTTCGACGCGATTCTTTAGAGTAAGTACGTTTGGAAGCACAGCGTCTAGTGGCGTTCCACTGTACTCTTGACACTGGCGTCACAAGGGGGGTGCGGGGAGGGCGGGGGGGGGGGAGGTCCAGCTCGCTCCAGCACCTGCGTAGTAGCACAAAACAAATGCTCGGCATAGCCCATTTTTAGAATGCCCGCTCCACCTGCGACGTCACGGGACTGAAAAGCGCGGACATATTTGAATGTTGGTTCTTGCATCATTTTCACCTTGCCGATTTTACAACAACTACTCTGAATTTCGCGATACTAAAATAGCATGCCGGAAAGGGTATGGGCCGTTGATTCGGCAAATAGGGTTAGTTGGGAGCTCAAAAAATTGCCGGAGTACTTCCTTTCACACTTCCGTCTTCACGGGCACGAATTACTGCCTAAAATAATTAAAAATAATTTCGAAGTAATTACCTTATTTTTGAAAAGTAATTGTATTCTAATTAATTTTAGTCTGCGGTCATTGGTCATGTAATTTATTTACTTTGCGTATTTCTGAGGAAAGTAAAAACCCGTTCACACACTTGCTTTTCGCTACGACCGACTGAGCCGGGACCGCTCTTTAAGACTCTTGCGATGACCTACGACCGGCTACGCAGCAATGCAGTGTCTGTGAGCCGTTACAGGGGGCTCAAAACACCGATCCTGTCTCGGTGAGTCGTAATCGAGCGCTAGTGTGTGAACGCGCCTTAATGGGTTATGTAATTTAATTATTCTTGAAAAGTAATTTTGCAATCTCCGCACGTACACACGGAGAAGTAATAACTTCTGCATTTTTCTACATTATTATATTTGTCGTAAGTTGGACGATATGTGAAATGTAGCGCGCGCTGAGAACTATGTCCGCCATATTGCTAGCGGCGAGAAAACGAAACCGATGATCCGACCGGCAAAGAGCCTATGTAAACAAGCGACGCCCTTCGTGCGAGGCGTACAATGCTGGCGTGTAGCAGCGTTCTGCTGCGGATGCAGCGATAAACCTTCGATTCGTGCGCGACATGAATACCAATGTGAACAGGATTCACATTTTTTTTCTTCTTATTTTTGTTTGTTACTTTACACGCAGTTGTTGACAAAAACAATCGGTGACAACGCCAAGCAACACGCGAACGTAATCGCACGGCGCGGGCCCATTCACAGTTATAGAACTGGGCCCTAATCTTCTCACGAAGTTTTATCAAACTTGTTTCTAAATGGCCTTTTTTTTTATGCAGACTGTAGTGTTAGTTTGCGTTTTCCTTGATGCGAAAGCAGCTCAATGTATGCGGACGAGGTGTGAAGCGAGGCAAAAAGATGCCAGTTTTAATCATCTACGCCACTGACCATGATTTAAGATGCGTATGGTTAACAGTGAACAACAAAAGCCGAAAACACCACAAAGTCCTACATTTGAATGTCATATTAAAAAAATGAAAGACATTCACAATTCGCTGTAATGCCGAATTAGAGCGCACTTCTTGAGGAGGAGGAGGAGGAAAGGGTATGCCCTCCTCCCCTTCTCCTTCTCCCCTTTCATTAAGCGGGAAATTTTCGCTAAATTTCCCGCTAAATTAAGCGGAAATTTTTCCGCTAAAGTTATCGGGGAAACTGAATTTATTCGAGGTCACGTGACGTCATTTCTCCGTTAAATATAGCGGGGAAATATTTACGCAAAATTTAGCGGAAAGATTTCTCCACTAAATTTAGTGGAAAAGTTTCCCTCCTAAATATGGCGGGATCTCCCCGCTAAATTTAGCAGAAAAATTTCACCGCTAAACCTAGCAAAAAAAAAAAAAAAATTCCCGCCAAATTTAGCAAAATTTTTCCCGCTAAACTTAGCGAGAAAATTTTACACTCGTGACGTCACACGTCCCGTCTCGTGTGACGTGATTACGGGAAACATCACATAATGGAACGCGAGGTTACGCCGACGCCGATGCCGCTCAACCCGGAAACGAACGCTTAAAAGCTATGCTCTAAAAAAAATAATAACTTTGGACAGTCAGAAAACAACCATATTGCTTAGCAGCCATTTCTTACACTTGATCTGGCGTTAGTTAGTTGATAAAAATATATTTGAATTAGAAGCGCGGTTATGTAGAATAGAAGACAAAACAGACATGGATGAGTGTCTGATTGCTCAACACTCACAGAGACGGGATATTGCTGTCTTTCTTGTGGAACGCCACTTCCGATTACATCACTTGCTTAGATTCATCGCAGTGGCTAAAACTTTGATGGCAGCGGCGGCAAAAAGTGTTGATGCAGACTTCGAGTGGCGCAACACGAGCGATGCCAACTTCATTTCACGGCTCTTTTTTTCTCTTTTTTTTTTTTTTTTTTTTGTTGCAGCCGAGGTGAAAATTTTGTTGAGTGCAAAGAAATTTCGGGGGTAGTTTCAGGAAAATCAATGCAGTTATTGTGCCGGGGTTGAACAAATCTTTCTTAACCAGCGCAACATCCGTCGAGTCGCATGTTTTGGCGTCTGCAGCTAAACAGTACGACTTCCATGCGTCTTTGCATCGAAAAAAGAATTGAAAAAGTCCTCAGAGATGAAAGGCATATGGCCTAGCCCTTTGTCCACATTTTTGTACTTACAGCGCATAAACGACTCACAATAGCAGGCGCTCACTCAATCACAGACACAAAAACATACACACAGCGTGTTTATGCGCTGTGAAGTACAAAAATATGGAAAACCAACTAGCCCAAGCTGCGGTGTTAACAACCTTTGTCCCACGTTGGGTAAGTAAATAATAAAGTTTCTGAATCACAATTAGCGGCCATGGAAATGCTGAGAAACCGAAACTCAAGAAACTTTCAAGATTCTACCAAGATGGCCGCACGCACAGTGCTGCCAGACCACCGCCTTCAAAGAGGACAGACAGAATTGATAAATAAAGAAATTCAAAAGACGCACGCATAGACTAACAAACACGCTCATACAAAATACATGCACACACAACATACACGGACACACGCATC